TTTTCGGGGTTGGAGGGGGGTGGTTGGGGTCAGGAGGGTAAAATTGCCCAAAACTATGTTTTTAGGACCTTCGCTTGACCGTAAGCCGTGGGTGAGTAAAAATAGCGTCAGCGCCTTCAACTAATAGTGTATGCAACACGCACATCCTTAGAGCACGAATAGTTGTATCCAAGCGCCGTTGTGAACTTTGCTTTGATACATTCATAGATGGAGATGCCATGAAAGCAACGGCGCCTCCAATTAATTGTGTATGCAACACGCACATCCAAAGAGCACGAATAATTGTATCCAAGCGCCGTATGAACTACGCTTCGAAACGTTCATTGACGGATATATCTGAAGTTGTGCCTTTGAGTAAAATGCAACGCTATTGTTTTTTCCTCCACTACTCTATCAAAGCAGGTTCCAAATTACGAGGGGCATTCGTAAAGTAAGTATATATCTTTACTTTCTCCGAAACTAATAAAGATAAATTAAATCGGTAAAAATTGTTTTTACCGCCATATTCTCAGCTTTTCAAAAAGCCTTTGTTTTTTAAATTTGGTTTACTGGTTCGCGAGTGACGTCATTTTTCCCGCGCCCATCACTCGTCCCTGCGTGTCCAAAATATTCGAAAGCGGCGGAGCTCCTCAGACGAGTACATGCTACGGTGTTTTGGGACGCTCATCGTCATATTACTGATCGATTTCTTGGAGAGAGGAAAAGCGATAGATGCCGCAAGATATTATGAAGTTTTGAAAAAATTAAGTCAGCGATCAAGCGAAAACTGCCCGGTCTTTTGTCTCGTCAAGTTTTGTTTCTTCAACACAACGCTAGGCCTCATGTGGCTCAAGTGACTCAAGACTTGTTCGCCTCATTCAAATGGGACTTTTTTCCTCATCCACCGTACTCACCGGACCTTCCTCCAAGCGGTTTTTATCTTTTTCTTGCGTTAAAGGAGATCTTGGGTGGTCAAAAGTTCTCCACCGACGCAGAGTTGCAAGAAGCTGTAAAAAAATGGTTCCAACGATAGGATGCGTAATTTTTTGAAGATGGAATCCGCAAACTGCTAACACGGTATCAGAAATGTGCTCAACCGGGTGGAGATTACGTCAAACAGTAAGGTAAGACAATTCAAAGCCTGAAAGTTCCACATATTTAACCAATTAACTGTGTTACAACCTTCTTTACGGTGAAAACATGTACTCGTCTGAGGAGCACCGTCACCGCCGCGCTCGAATATTTTGGACACGCAGTGACGAGAGATGGGCGCGGGAAAAATGACGTCACTCGCGAACCAGTAAACCAAACTTAAAAAACGAAGGCTTTTAAATCGGTAAAAATTATTTTTACCGATTTAATTTATCTTTATTAGTTTCGGAGAAAATAAAGACATATACTTACTTTACGAATGCCCCTCGAACAAAAATTCTTGCGGGCAACTTTTAAAATTCCTTGGGGGGGGGGGGGATAGAGTAATAGGATGAATCACATGTTTTTTCAATTGAAGGGTCCGATGCATGAGCGTTTTAAGAGACATTTTTTTGTGATTTCGAGGAGAAAAGTTGTGAAACTTAGAGGATATAAGAGACTTGGGTGCTACGAAATTTTTAAACCCACTATGCGATGCACTATGTGCGATACCACTATGCACTATGTAAGTTGACGCTGTTATTGTATCACACATAATAATAATTCGAAACTAGTTCTATATAAAATGGTCAACAACTCAATTTTGTTTGTAATTGACACATTCATGTCCTGGGTCATTTCATTAAATAAACGGCAAAAAAATTTAAATGTTAGGCATGTGCAATGATAAGGGACGCACTCCTCGGCTGCTACGCGAATCAACCCCGAAAGAAGGTCTTGAACTTTCAAGTGCCGCTTCTTAGGTCATATTGCGAAACTTTAAATGAGGCAGGTTCATTCGGTAATGATTACCTACCCATGCATAGCCGGAAAAATCATAGAAATTGGCTCAGTAGATCTCTGTGATGTACAATAGCGAAACAAAAGAATCAAGGGAGCCAGAAAGCTGACATAAATAAGCTCATATCACTTCAATATAGACCGTATTCGGAGGGAAATCAGCTGGATCACAGAGTTGTGAAAATCGTGCATATTTTTCTTTAAATTTATCTGCGAGCACGCATGGAACAGCAAATATCTCTTGTTTTTCTACCATTGAACTGTAAGTACATTTCAAAGAATAATGATTGCGTGATTGTATTATACAAATAGACCGAGGGGCAGGCAGGGGTAAATCCCCACCCCCCTCCCCACGGGGGAGGGATTTTGAAGATTATGATTTTCTTAAAGCTCTCGACTGGTTAAATAAGATTTTTTTTCCACGCGCATTATATCGTGGTTGGGGGGGGGGGGGGTACCCCCCCCCCCCAAAAAAAAATTGCTCAGAATTCCGACTTTTCCGCGAATTTTCTCATTTTCCTTGAAAAGGCTTGATTTTGGAGCTAAACCCCGAAGAACCAATCTGAAAGCTCGTGAAACTTTGTTGCAGAAAAGATGTAAAAGACTTTGACCATTGCCCGAGGTAATCCCAAAGGGGCTGAAAGTGTCAAAATATATCGACTTCCTGCGTAAATGACTGTTTCGCTGCGACAATACATACAAGAAGAATTCTTTGAAGCATAAATGAAGTTGCACGATTTTGAAAACACTGCAATCTGCGAAAGGCAGCCCATGTATGATAGAGTTCAAATACTGAATGGTATTATTGCACGGAATCATTGCAAGAGGCTAAGACGACTGACGTTTCCTCTCGAGTGCAGTTCCCCGCATGTGCAAGTCTAATTAGATAGAGGCTGAAAACCCGCCAACGACCGAAGAAGAGGTCAAAACACCGATTACACGCTACGAACAAACGACTTTTTGCAAACGCGGCGGCCGGCGAAATCCTTCTCGGTGACGAAATTGCAAGAGCAGGGGCTCTTTTGCATGTTTCCATTGGCGAGATTCCAGGGATCGATCCTCCGCCGCGGGTGACCCACTGAGTGCATTGCATTCCGTTTCGTTTCGGCTAACGAGCGCTTTTATGCCACGAAAGCGATGCTCCGCAGCTCCTTCATTTTTTCTCATCATAGCGTCGCGCCGCCCCGCGTCGTTTGAGATAAAAGGCTTCATGGCGGAGCATCATGCACACGCGAAAAGAATACTGCCGTACTAAGGAAAAACGCCGTATAAACCTTTAGGCGTTGCCAAATTTCCTTCGAGAAAACACGAATTTCCCTCGGAAATGTATGAGTATTTTCCTCCCGATTTTTCAGATAATTTAGTCCGCAATTCCACCGAAAGATTCTGAAAGTTTAAAGGAAATATATTCATAACTTTCCTAAAAAATAAACATTTTAGCGAGGGAAATTTGGCAACTCTCGAATGTTCATACGGCGTTCTTCCTTAGCACGGCAGAATACGACTTGGGGTGAAATCCGGAACATCGACCCATGAGTCACTATGTCGGCCCTTCTCAGCCACCACAGGGTGTCTACTAAAACAGGCTGATTAAAAATCAGTACTTTTACCGGACTTTTTCAGTACATTTTCCAGAAATTCAGTACCTCTTCAGCGGGGAATTTCAGTCGTTTTCAGCACCTTCATTCGACGAAATTCGAAAGATTTCAAAAATTTGAATTTCTCGCTCAAATATTGACAAAATGACACAAAAATTCCGGACCTCCTTGCGGTATTTTAGCACTTTTTCAGTACTTTCAGACCGCCTTTATAAAATCGTACTCTTTCCGGATTTTCCGGACTTGTAGACACCCTGCACCACCTGATCGTTGAAAGAATGGGTATCGATGGAGGCCGTTTTTAAGTCCACCCTGAATTCCGTCAACCGTGCGCTTTTTTGCTTGTTGAAGGCCTATATTTTACGGAATACATCATGATTTACATCAAATCGCATCAAGTTTGAACACAGTGAAAGAAGTTTGAAGTTGTGTTCCTCTATAAGACCCAACGTCAAAGACCGAGGTTTAAAAACTATTTTCAGGCTCCCAGTTTTTTTCTCGGCTTTGAATTGTTCACAGGAAGAAATTCACCACTACTTAAAGTCGAACCACTCCTAACTTTAACTTTTTTTTTCTTTTCGAAATAATGTTGATTATAAATAATGGCCACAGTGCAAGCCTACGTATCTCCATTGCAGAGTTTTAAAATTTACGCTTCGATTTTATTTTTTCGAAGAAAAACAAGCCAACTTCATAGTTTGAACTGTGCACAGGATGTTCTGCTACCAGAGAAAATTGAAGGAAGTTTCCAAGAAACGTTACCTAGTTTTCCGAGGAAAAAATAAAGTATGACAGGAAATTCAAATTCAAAGTTAAATTCATTTTATTTCTGTACATTAGCCATGGGAAGCTAGGCTAGGTACAGGTCACAATGGGTACAGTGAAGATTAACAAATCAGTTTGTTGACAGAATAGTTAGGTTATAACCAATTTCCTTAGGTTTTATCAAATTATCTCAGGTATTAACAATTATCTTAGGTTTTAACAAATTATCTCAGGTTTTGACAATTTAACAAAATATCTTTATCCATAAGGAAGTCTACAACATCGCATAATGTGATACGTGCTTTCGCACTTTGGCTATCGTAATACATCTTCCTCGATTTCCAAACTTCTCGTTGTGCGAATAGCTTCCAACGAGATATCATAGAACGCGGTGCTTTAATTCATTCTTTGTCTGGTAGCCCATTGAATGTCGTCGCATGCACGAAAAAAGAAACACCAAGAAGCTACTAGAAACAGGAACTCCACGAACAAGGGATCGGGGGGAGGGGGGCTCTAAGCAGTAGAAAGCTCGATTCGTAGCTTGAATCGATACCCACCCAACCTCGGCTAATATTTGCTCCGCGTACTACGGGGCTGACTGTCGGGTGCTCATAAACTACCCCCTCGGGGTCGGAGGGGGGTGGGGTGGGGGATGGGGGCGTCTCGCCGGGGGACGCCAGTCTCCCCGTGCCCCATTCGCACCGCTGCGCCTCGTGGTCTCGATCCCCGACCTTTCGTCTCCGAGTCGCGTCCCGCTCGCCACGGTTGCGTCAAGTGCGGTCCCGATTGTTGCTTCTCGGCGTGACGTGAGTCGCACGTGACGCATGCCGACGTGACGGGTTCACTCACGTTCCCGTTCAGGTAACGTAAATTTCAGTTTAACGTGCACAGACAACGATGGATTGCTCATTCTACAGTTAAATTGATAAAAATACGTCCGATATGCATGTTTCAAACAGTGTTCGAAACTCACATGCGCCAACGCGCCAAATACGCCTAAAAAATCGGCCATGGCGCCTAAAAAATGAAAGCTCAGCGCCAACGTGGCCCCTAAAAATTGCCCCCTAAAAATCTGGATTTTCACAGGAAGTCACAAAAAGAAAGAAAAACAAATCTATTTGAATTGAAAAAACTCAGAATTCTCAGCACTACAAGTGAAGACTTGTTTTTCTAAATTTTCACGATTTCATTCTTAGTGCTTTTGTCTTCCTCAAGTTACAGCTACGCACTAGTTCTGCTACGAAAATATCTTGCGTCTAACTTTTCACTAAGTGCGCCATAATATATAGGCAGAAAGTCAATTTGGCCCCTAAACAATCTTCAATGGCGCCTAAAAATCGGGCTTGATGCGCCACATGGCTCCTAAAACTCACAGGTGAGTTTCGAACACTGGTTTCAAAAGTACATTTTACAATAAAGGAAAGCTAATTGAACCGGGGTCGTTGGATTAGCATTTTTTGATTGTAAAATCTACATTGAAACATGTCGGACACTTCTTTAAAGTACAACATTTTTAAATCCGCAAGTTAGTTTTTTTCGTGTGTTTTTCACTTTTAGTTTCTTCAAGCATTTCGAGTGGGCATCAAAGTTTCCGGGGAAAATCAAGTGCCGTGGTGGGGCGAGTTAGGGACGGGAAATACCCGCGAACATTCCCGGTAACTCTTTAAAAAGTAAGCGATAACCTTGTGTATGTGCGTAAGGGGGAGTGATTGTGTATGTTTCAGAGTCGAAGTTTCTTGGAAAAGCAGTTTTAAGCTTGGAATTCCTTTGAGGGAGAGATCCCATTGAGATCTTTACTCTAAAAGCCTGGAATAAGTTGGAAGTTGGATATAGCATACGCTTTCTTTCCGAGGAGATCTTGTGTATGTGAGGGTGAGAGGGTGCATGTGTGAGTGTTTCGCAGTCAAAGTTTCCCCGAGAGATAAGGTTTCAGTCACGAATACCCTAAACTTTTCCGGATAAGTTCCCGCATTGATTCCGCCTCTCGAGATCTGGAATGACGTGAATGTAGCGCCTTAATTGTCAAGAGATAACTATTCGGGCTTGGCGGTAATGTGGTGTTGCATACTTCCTCTTTTGAAGGCGTTTTTCAAAATTGACTCGGGCGATCGAGGCTGGCAATGCTACTGTTTGGTTTAACCTGACTTCACTCAATTTAAATCAATTGAAGTGTAGAATTTGTCGTTTCTTAGACGATAAAGTATGACTACACTGCAACGTGACAACCTTTCAACTCGTTAAATGCATTTTTTTGAAGGAAATTGAAGAGAATTTAAAACAGAAAATTTCGCCATTGTACATCCTACTCACACACAAAAATCAGAATTTTTTGACATAAATTATGTACTGCCAAGTCTTAGTCTAGCATTAAGTTGAACTGTTCGAGTCAGATTTGCAGTTTTGAAATGGAGTTCCATCGTATGGGGAAAAACGAATGGATTTTCAATTTCGAGTGTAGGCCCTCTTTCCACACACGCAGACTTTCTAACCAAAAAAGATGATGATGTTTTCATGAGAGCAGAGACAATGATCACGACTGTTTAAATAGTTTGAGAAGACTAGTTGATTACCATTGAAAATGAAAAGAAAATCATGCTGAGTGTAAAGTTTTTTGAGGGTTGAATAAAGTTCACGCGGTATTATTTTGGTCGGGAGGATTTCTGATGCTTTTTCTTGGGGATTCGAAAATGTTGCGCGAATTGAGTCCAAAGACTCGCTTGCTAAGGCGATAAAACACGATCGTAAAAGGTGCTCTTTGGTATGGATATCCACCACGGAATGTTCCTAATTTCGTGCTGTTATACAGCTCTGAAACCATTTCGGAGGACTTACAAACGCTTTTCATTTTATTGGTTAAGGACTCTTCAGTCGCCGCAATTTGCAACTGTGAAATGAAAAAGTAACTGAACGACTTTTCACTAATTGTTAGTTTGTATTCATACAGTAAAATATAAAATATGATCATTAAATGCGCCAGACTTTTGACGTTTATGACAAAAATTACACGGGTGCTTAAATTATTTTGCAGTAAAAGATGCAACTATCGGTATCTTCGTTTTGAGGGGACTATAAAGTGATGAATTTAGATCATAAAACACTGGCAGTGGTGATTAAGGACATTGTTCATTCTTCTATTTCTTAATTTACTTCCATATTAATTATGATAGAATTAACAGATAACATTAGGAACGTGAGCTAAACATTAATGTTAAGTACTTGAGTTAATAAGGGCTCCAAATGATAATAATAAAAAAAAATACGTATATTTATGAACATGAATATGAAAATAAATTATCTACATGCCTCGCATCAACAATCAAACTGAACGACGTTCAAAATTTATAAAGAATAAAATTTAAATTTTAATAAATATTTTGATGATGAAAGACGATGATGGGGATTAATCATACATTAACAGTAAGTTCCTTAGGTACCCAATATAACAAGGAGTAAATCAGAACACGTATTTACAAACACAAAAGTAATAATCTACATTGCTCCCTTCAACAGTTAAAGGTGGATTACGCATACCTCGTAAGTGAGTGTACCCTCTGTAATACCTAATTATTTCTTTTTTTTAAAAAAAAAAAAAATCTACATTGCTCGCTTCAACATATTTGTTCACACCAAAGAGGAAAATAATCTTTCCCCGTGAGAATTTCTATTTTGATTTGCGAGCTTCACCATTACGCAAAATCTTACAAGTTAATATTTTCGGTTAGGAGAATTAGAAGCATTTAATTTTGATTACTAGCTGATAGCAAGAATTATCGGTGAGTTTTTGATCGGTGATATTTTAAAAAAATCTTACGGTCGTGATGAACCAATCAGGCGTCGCAGTTATTTGTTTGAGAGATTAAAATATGATAAATATGATAAGCAATTTTGGACGCGTGTACATTCTTTCTTCCTCGGGGGAAACACGATGATTTTTAGGTGTCTTTATAACATTTGATACTATCGCGGAATTTTTCTCGGAGTAAAAAACATTATTCATGGAAAAGATACTTGACCTTTAAATGAATTCTGCCAGGCTTCATGTCACTACGCGCACAAAAGTATTATTTCGCGAACTCCTATACGTTCGCGTTTGTGCACGTCAACGTGAGGAACGAACAGAAATCTTTTTTCCCTGCCTTTTTTTCTTTTTCTGATGCTATTCCATAGGTTTCGCGGTATATAACATAATTTATTCTACAGTAGTTTACGATAGAATGTCAAAAAAGTCGCGACTTGCGACCTGGGAGCAACTTTAATTTTCCAAAAAAATCTTTCATCAGATTCGGTACTAACCTGCCGTGCTGAGGAAGAACGCCGTAGGAACATTCTAGAGTTGCCAAATTTCACTTGTTAAAACATGTATTTTAGACAGCATTCATGCATGTTTTTTCTTGACATTTTTAGATATTCTAGATAAAATGGCGTACAAAATTGCCTGAAAATTTTGGAAAATAATTTTCAGAATTTTCTCAGTGCATTCGGTTTTTATCGGAGGAAACTTGGCAACGTCTGAAGGCTCATACGGCGTTTTTCCTCAGCACGGTAGTATTGCACCAATGAGAATTATGAGTCTTGAGCATAGTTGCCAGATACTACTGGAAAATCAGCACTTTCATCATTCACCCCCATGTAAATTGTCCCCCTTTTATCGCACAACCTCGCAACCCTGGTTCTGAGAAAAACCTTGGGATCAGGGAACGGTGCGGCATTGATCATAAAAAACCTCCCTGAGAGGTCCGCTATGAAAGGTCGTGATCGCATGAGAAATCAACAGCTACGAGCTGTAACTCCATTCGAAGCCGGTTCACGCTGTGAAACAATCACTCGAACGAATTTCAGCGATTACGTTCGAACATCATCCATAAAAAAGTACACTCGACAGCTGCATTTGTTCAATACTTCCATCCACTGGATCTCGAATTCCGATTGAGATGGAAAAGTTCTAGCGAACATTTATCTTCCATCGATAACTCGCGGATTTACTTCCCCAACTGTGCGGGTCAGTTGCTGGACAGAAGTTGTGAAGTTGACCGTTCGTTTCGTGTCGTTTGTGAGTTATGGCTCTGAAAATTAATCACTTCCCGCGTAACTCCAATGCACTGAGAGTTGTTTTGTTCTCATGTTGCATCCGCATGTAGACACGTTTCTAGTATTAATTTAACCTACTTCACAACCCATTCCTTGAACGATGTTGCTTGAAAACTCATATTGGAAGAGTGCATACTGAAAGGAGTTCTAGGTGGCGGTAGCCACCCCGGCCCAATCCTAAAAAACTCCCCCTAAAAGTTGACGAGGACGACAACGACAAAAAAAAAAAAAAAAAGCTGAATATTATAAGCACGGGGAAGCATCATGGAGCTTTGGGGGTGTGGTTACTGTTTCTTGCTTAATATCGAACCTCAGGTTATCCTGGAAAAAAATGTTGTAGTTTTCTTAGAAACTTTAGTCCAGGAAATGCGGTTGGTAGATAGGATCATCCGCAAGGTTTTCCTTGGTAATTATCTAAGTTATATTAGGGCGTAGCAATGGGACATTTTTGGACCAGTATTTTTTATCTGTCACTGCATTATTAGCTCTAGCTAGCATATTTGACAATCAAATCACGATCCTGCGTCATCAAGTGGCTGACCATTTTATACGAATTTCAAAAGATTTCATTCTGTTCAAATGGTCACGGATAACCACGAGGGAAGTAGGAAAAGCGGTCAACTCTTCACAACGTTATACTATTGTCAAAGAATACTAGATTGAGGAACTAAGTACTTGGGGGTTTTTTATTTTTTTATTTTTAAAAAAAGTTATTTGAGGTCTTCAGTCCATTTGAGCATTCTGCAACCTTAAATGAGTATCGGTTTAGGGTTAGTGCACACCAATGATCCAGGCTTTCAAATTTTCAGGGATTAAGGTGATTCGATGGACGCCTAATTTTGTGTCAGAACGGCATGCGATATATCGCATCAATTGGTTCCATTTTTTCTGCTATTCGTCATTTTTCTCAAATTTTGAGATCGAAAATTTGTTGACAGGAGACTAAAGCACTCACTTACCAATTTTAACAAAGAAATTCAACGTGATAAAGGCGTGGTTTTTTTAGAGAGAAAATATCGCATTCGAGTGCAGTTTCGATATCAGTATCGAATGCGATATTTTCTCTCTAAAAAAGCCACGCCTTTATTACGTTGAATTTGTTTGTAAAAATTGGTGAGTGAGTGCTTTAGTCTCTTGACAACAGAATTGCGATCTCAAAATTCGAGAAAAATGGTTAGTAGCTGAAAACATAGAGCCAATCGATGCGATATATCGCACGTCGTTCTGACACAAAATATGACGCCCATCGAACCATCTTAAGGCCGAGTGAAATCTGCCTCTTCAGATCCACTCGTCAGTATAATGAAAATTCGTCGCCACCACCGGGATTCGAACCCGGGACCTATTGACCTAAGTACTTGTTGAGTTGATTGTACTGGTTTTATTTTCCTTACATAGCGGAATCGGATTTGTAACGTTCAACTTCCCTGGCATCTTCTTTGTACACAAATCCAACAACCCATCCCTGATCTCCTTGGTAGGGATTCGGACAGTATGAAGTCCTGATATGTCTCTCGGAGTTGCGATCAGGTATCCGTTATGAACGAGAAGGGTCCAGAGCGGATCTGGGAAGACGATCAGGTACGACATGTCGCGATACATCACTGTATCTATACTCCCGTTGGAAAAAAGTTTTTCGAGGGCTGGCCGCACCACCGTCGGAGCCAAGGCAAACATCAACTCCACGACGAAATCCGTCAGACCGCCGGGTACCCAATAGACCCCGGGCTTTCCCCCTTGGTTCAGAAAGGACAACACGGAGAACGGGTTATAAAGCTGAGTACCGCAGAATTCGTACCCGCGGTACCAAGTGTCGAGGAGCTCGCGCTTGGCGGTGAGTCCGGCTTCGTCCACCAGAGCGCGCACGTCGCTCTCCAGGAACCCGAAGAACTCGGTGTAGCGCTCGTCGTCAAGAACTGAGTAGACCCGCATTTCAGGGAGTTTTGTGAGGAGGCTTTCCTGCCCGATGCCGCTGATGCTCGTGATGACGCATTTGCATACGTGCGGATTGTCTTTCAGTGCCGGTAGAAGGAGATCGTGGAGCAGGGATGACATTTGGTCAATGTAGTGGTTGAGGAAGGCAGTTAGGGTGGGTTTCTCGAAAGAGTCGATGAGAAGGACGACGGTTCTGTTATTTTTGCGGTGTAGATAAGAGCATAACATGCGGACGCCTGCCGTGACGTCAGAGAGAGTGGCCGTCTCATCACGAACGGCTTCGAAGGTGCGTTTCTCTTTGTCGGTGAGGAGGTCACCATCGAGGAGGTACTCATGGAGGCGGAATATCTGTAATGTATATCCAAGCAAACAATAGTAATCTATCATGAGACATGAAACCTCAGTGCGGAAAAACTTATATTGTGATAACATTTTTAAAAAGTGCATTATACGACATGTTATGCAAAATGATTCCAAAATTTTCCCCACGATAATATTAGAAATATTATAAGAAAGAAATATTATAAGAATAACAAGCTCATTAATACTAGAAATACGAAGAGATGCCCGAAAAGAACTGGACATTTGCTGGAACTTGGCAACAGTTGCGCGTATTTTTCCTCATTCGTCGCCGGAGTACTAGTACATACGAGAGCTGTATTAGCTTCTGCTTGGATTATACCAGCAGATGCATACTATCTTCCTGAAACCGACCCATTGAAAACATCAGGAATAGTACTTTTTAAAAAGGAGCGCATCCATTTTTCAACTTTCTTTTTTTTCTTCTGAATTTTTGAACCCTTCGGTTGTTTTTGCCAGATTACCCGAGAAAGCAGCGGGAGACCACCTCTTAGAACACAAGCGATGGACGCTTGAATACACGATTTTCACGTAAAAAGAGCATAGAAAATGCAATAAAAACGAGTTTGAAAAATTACACTCCCGCCCCTTTGCGAAAGTACTGATTCATTTAAAGAAATTCGTACGCACCTCTCCGACAGAGTGAGCTATATCGGTTTTCGCGGCCTCGTAACTGTCCGCATTGACGTTGCTTAGGGAAAGGTGGATGGTAGGGTACTGCCCGCGATGGACCCTGCAGAAGGCTGTGTCTTTGGAGATACTGGTACCGCGAAAAAGATCCAAGTGCCCGATCTTCTTGGCCGTTGCCGGGCTGATGCGGTTCTCGAGGAAGTAGCGGAGCATGGAGAGAGCTGTCGTCTTGCCGAAGAGTCGCGGACGGGTGATGAGAATCAGGCTGGGATCGTCCCGCATCACCGCCTTGATGAACATCGACTTATCCGCGTACGTAAAGTTGTTCACGATGATGTCTGCGAAGTCGTGTACGCCTAGTGGGAATTTTCTATGTGCCTGCGCGACAAAATACCGAATCAGTTGCCTTGAAAATTATTTGGAATGGAGGTTCTTCTTGAGAGAATAATTGGATTGCATTTTGCAAAAAGGAACCAGAAGCATTGCAATGATCTAAGATTGTGAATTCTCATCCTTTGCAATCAAATTACTGAAACCATGAAAAAATGTAAAATTTACATTGTAATTTTGTCTTAAATTTACAGTTTTTGGCGAGTAAAATAGAAACTGTTAATGGATAATCAGGTTTTTCTTCCACGACAAAAGAAGTTGCATAATCTTGGCAACATTGCAATGCTCCTGGTTCCTTTTTTGCAAGATGCAATCCAATTATGGTTGGGCAGTTTTATAAAAAAAGGGAATCTAAGACGTTACAAAACAATGGATCTTTCATTGGTTGAAAAAATGGAAAAAACCAATGTAAAGCAACATTCATCGAGTATGAATCACGCTTCAGTAATTACAAAAACCTGGTGATTAAAAATTAGTTTGCAGCCGAAAATACATTCCTTTGAAATGATTCCGGCCGTATACACGCTAACATGAGGCAATTAGGTTTAGTGTAGTCGGCTCGAATACTCGGTTACCCGTCCACCCTATTCAAAATTTTCTCTTGTGTTAAGTCTTTAAGTTTTAAATTAGGTATCAGAGACAACCCGATGTATAATTGATTTAAGTTTTTGCTTTTCATGTGGTATTGGCTGGAGTCCTGGAGGACGCGAGCTCCTCCTCCTAGACAATGTCGTATGTGCGGGGCTTACACGGTCATATTCCCGAGGGATAACTTGTAATTTTTACCTAACGGTTATTAATAAAACGGGGGAAAAACTTGGTTTACTTCTATGGTTTAATTTAGCTGTTTCCCTAAAAAAACAGAGAATACCTAATTGACAAAGGACACTAAATTAAAGAATACTTTTTTAAATATATTTTTAGTAATATAAATATAATAATAATACATTTAATTGTCGATATTTCACTATAATATTGATCAATAAAAACTTTAATTCGATTAAAAAAGATAGATCTATTTAAAATTACTCGACCTTTACTATTTTTAGATTGACGGTTGCTTATTTTAGTATTTCAACTTTAAAAATCTCATACAGAGGAAAAATTTTCACTCACGGAAACACACCCAGCGGCAAATAAACCGAAAATCGCGTACACCTGCGTCGTTTTCGACGCCATTTTGGTGAATTTCCTGGGACTTAGGGGACAGAGACGTCATCAACTCAGACTGGGGAACAAATTATGAATGAAAACGTTATTCATGACGTACATGAATAATGAATATTAAACTCCTCAGCTGGTGCAACAAGGGGGCTCGACAGTATGCCACTAGGGACCCGACCGATCGATAGATAAGGAGTGATTATTAATAGTCCAGATGCTATACCTCTAATTTCGATAAGACATCGCCCGTCAGTAAATTACACGCTGGACAGACTGATTAAAATCAAAACTCGAGCGACAGCTGAAATACTACTTGGGAGTGCATTTGTAACCTAATTTTTTCACGTTGTCATCAAGGATCAGTTTCCTATGAAATCACATTTAAAGAGTTGAAAGGTTGTCACGTTGGAGTGTAGTTGCGCTTCACCGTCTAGGAATCGACAGATTCTACACTTTCAAAATTGGGATAAGCCTGTCTACACCTCACACCAGCATTGCCAGCCTCGATCGCCCGCGTCGATTTTGAAAAACGCCTTCAAATGATGAAGTATGCAACATTACATTACCGCCAAGCCCGAATAGTTATCTCTTGGCGATCAAGGCGCTACATTCACGTCATTTTACATCTCGAAAGGTGGAATCCATGCGGAAACTTTCCCGGCAAAGTCTATACATATAAATGTAAATGCTGCCGTGCTAAGGAAGAACGCCGCGCCGTATGAACATTCGAGAGTTGCCAGATTTCCTTCGATATGATGTTTATTTTTGAGGCAAGTTATGAATATTTTCCCTTGAAATTCTCAGGAATCGAAGGTGAAATTGCGAGCAAAATTATCTGAAAATTTGGAAGAATTATAGTCATATGTTTACCAGGAAATTTGTAATTTATCAAAGGAAATTTGGCAACGCCTAAAGGTTCATACGACGTTTTTCCTTAGCACGGCAGTATGTGTCTATGACACACGAAACTGACTTATTCATACAGGCTACTGAAAATTTTATCAGATCGGGCCGACACTGTCCAAGACTGCCAACTGCCACTGATGTTATTAGCACTGCCTTCAGTGTAAAACCTGAGCCAAAATCAATTACCATCTGTAATTCTTGCTAGGGATGCTCCCGTCGATCGGTACGTGCTAAAAGAACCTCTTCGTTCTATTTTACGCGGGTGTTGGGGACTTTTTCGGATCCTTGGCGTCCAAAGTTCCTTCAAATTTCTTCTTACACAAGTCCAAAAACTGCTCTCTGACTTCCTTGTTGGGCATGCGAACAGTGTAATTAAGCCCTGGCGGATCCTTGGGCTTTGCATTTAAGTACCCATAATGAGCAAGAAGAGTCCAGAACGGCTCTTCTTGGGTGTTTAACCTTTCGTAAGACAACCCGTGGTAGATGACCTTCACTACACTGTGGTTATACATCAATTTGTCGAAGTCCGTTCGCGTCGCCATTGATAGAGTGAACACTATTCGCACTGCAGTTTCTGTCAGCGGATGTCGCGCCCAATAGAATCCTGGTTTCCCCCCTTGACTCAAAAATGACAGCACGGAGAACGGGTTGTAGAGCAATGTGCCGCAGAAGTCGTATCCGCGGTACCACGTGTCTAGGAGCTCGCGCTTGGCGGTGAGTCCAGTTTCCGCCACCAGAGCGCGCACGTCGCTCTCCAGGAACCCGAAGAACTCGGTGTAGCGCTGGTCAGTGAGGATGGAATAGACACGCATTTCAGGAAGCTCTGCCAGTAAGGCTTCTTGGCCAATAACACTAATGCCCGTAATAACCGCCTTGTAGAGGTAAGGGTTGTCCTTCAGAGCGGGTAAGAGGAGGTCGTGGAGCAGGGATCGCATTTGGTCCGAGTATTTGTTGAAGTAGGCGGCTTGATAAGGTTTCTCGAAGGAGTCGATGAGCAGAATAACGGTTTTATTGTTTTTACGGTGTAAATAAGTGCATAACTTGCGGAGGCCTGCCGTGGTGTCTGCAAGAGGAGCCGTCTTGTCGCGAATGGCCTCGAAAGTGCGTTTTTCCTGGTCAGTGAGAATATCACCATCGAGAAGGTACTCATGCATGCGGTGTATCTAGAAAAGACGAAATAGAACACTAAAATATGGAATGATTATAGATTTGTAACCGTGGAAGGAAAACTAAGGTCCTAGGTCTAAAAAAAGAAGAAAAGAAAAACCGCAGAAAATGAAGGCAAGAGAGCGAGAAAGGTTTAATCCGACGGTAAAAAGGCAAAAAAGCGTATCTTTGTTAGCTACGTTGCAGACTTTGTGTCTTATTTACTTTCTGAATGAAAAAACTAGACATAGCCCACATTTCAGAGACCGCATTTTGTTCCGCTTCCAAGGGTCGGCAACGTTGTGATACATTTAAATAATGCCTTTTATATACCCATTGTTATATTGTTATAACCTCCATTACAACAAAACGAAATTCCCTCCGGGCGACGGTGCACTTAGGTACAACATTTGGTGTTCATGCTGGCAGCAATGAAAACCAAAAACCACAAACCAACCACATCCAAAATTCTCCACCCACCTCCCAATGATGGATGCAAAAGTTGGCCAAAATTCATCAAGCAGCTGAGATTAGTTCTTGACTGCATCAGAGAGTTTTTCTCCTTTGGTTTGCAACCCTGAAAATCTGGTTGAAAAAGTCGACCAAATCCACTCGCAAAAATTCTGTTATGAAAGAATTGAACAATGTACCTAAGGTTTCGCGTTATATGCTTCTATGGTAGGATCATGGGACGATACAAGTATGCTCTTCCTTTTAGTTAGGGAGTGCCTACACTGCAAATATTGCAGGAGGCTTCACAGCGTGACTCGCTGGATTCCACGAGTGTCGCAGGACCAGTAAACTCAACGGCGGATCCAATTGACTCGAGGAGCTATCTTGCCAGTTGGATGGTCTCTCTCTTCGGTGCTTAGCCCCTCCACGGAGAAAAAAACCTCGTGCGTGGGATCCGAAGTTAAGATCATATCTAGATCTCTGAAGTTTTCGGATTGAGCATCTGAACACTTTAGGTCTAGCTGTCGAGGCTCGGATCACACATCTGAAACTTCAGTTCTTACATCTGAAGTACTTCAGATGTGAGAACCGAAGTTTTTCGGATGTGAAAACCGAAGTACTTCAGATGTAAGAACTGAAGTTTCAGATGTGTGATCCAAACCTCAGCAGCTGGTCCTAAAGTGTTCAGATGCTCAATCCGAAAACTTCAGAGATCCATATGACCTAAACTTCGGGTCCCACGCACGAAGTTTTTTTCTCCGTGTACTTATATATGGACTGGAAAGTCAGATTACTCGAGGACGCCGCTTGAGCAATGTAAACATCGCCCAGTCGACGACACTCAAACAATCCGACGTCATCGGCTAATATATATAGCTGGTTTAAATACCTTGAACTTTCCCTCATGACAATTCACCTTCAGCTATTTCTCTTAACAGCGCATTATATGACGATAAAACTGGAAATGGGAGACATAGTGGGGTACGCCATTTACTGCGTAACATTAATGCAAATTCGTACACACCTCTCCGATTGAGTAGACGATTAAGGTCTTAGCCTCCTCGTAGTTGTCACCATAGACGTAGCCGAGAGAGAAGAGGATGGTTGGGTATTGTCCACGGTGGGCCTTGCAGAAGGCGGTGTCCTCGGAGATGCTGAGATCGCGGAAGAGATCCCGGAACCCAATTTTCAGGGCCGCGGCTGAACTGATGCGGTTCTCGAGGAAGTAGCGGAGCATTGAAAGAGCGGTTGCTTTGCCGAAGAACCGCGGGCGGGTGATGAGGATCAGCCGGGATTCGTCCGTCATAACTGCTTTGATGAACCCCGATTTATCCGCGTATGTAAAGTTGTTCACGATGATGTCAGCGAAGTCCACTACGCCCAAAGGAAATTGCCTTTGTGACTAGCGAGACAGAACCAAGAAAGACGCCTTACACGGAGAAAAAAACCTCATACGTGGGACCCGAAGTTTAGGTCATATGGATCTCTGAAGTTTTCGGATTGAGCATCTGAACACTTTAGGTCTAGCTGTCGAGGTTCGGATCACACATCTGAAACTCCGGTTCTTACATCTGAAGTAGGTACTTCAGATGTGAGAACTGAAGTTTCAGATGTGTGATCCAAACCTCAGCAGCTGGACCTAAATTGTTCAGATGCTCAATCCGAAAACTTCAGAGATCCATATGACCTAAACTTCGGGTCCCACGCAAGAATTTTTTTTTCTCCGTGTAGGTAGAACCTTTTGCGTGTAGATTCATAATACAAATGGTAAAACTATTGAAGAAGCAGTGGTACTTTTTCGTGATGATCTCGATTCTCATCCGTCTGTTAACACCATTAACCTTGAAATTCTTAAAAACTCGTGATATTTTTGGTAAAGAGCGCAAACGAGAGGTGATTGACTAAGAATGAATCTTTTTGTATATAGGTTAATTTTGAAGGTTGAGTCACATTATACGAAAACAAAAAGATAGAAATCTTTAAAAGATATCTAATCGGTAGATAAATGAATCAATTAAACTAGACCCTAAATCTAAACGAGTGTTCATGACATTCAAATAAATATGTTTATAGGTATTATACCTATTCCTTAACTTTACTGAGTAAATGGATGAACTGTCTTTTCATGGGTAAGTATTCATCAATCTCAGAATCAATAGAGCAATAACTGAATTAAAACTGTAAAAAAAATTAAGCTCCACTTACGGACACAGGCCAAACAGTAATACTACTTAAAATTGCATACACGCACGTTATCTTCTTCATCATGTTAGTAAATATACTTGCATTCTTGGAAATAAGACTGATATTAACTCAAACTGAGAGACTGACAATTAATAAAATAATTATTCATTGGCGTAAATGAAATACAAATGTTGAGCTACAGTTACAGCTACAGGCATGCCACATGGAGCCCAGCCGATTGATAGATAAGAGAGAATCATCCATAGTCTCAATACATGCCACTAATTTTGATAAGAGAGTATTGTCATTAGATTACATGCTAGACTAACTTTCATCGATGACAAGTGCGGGCGTGTGAAGCTGAAACCGATTGTTTCGTTTTTCTTATAAATTATATGTTTCTTACCAGTCAAACATTAAAGATGGTTAAGTTAAAATGGTCAGATTCCTCCTTCTCCCGTCTCTTCTTTTTTATTAAGTAGTTTGAGCACTTTTGGTAATTCTTTAGGAAACCCTGATCCACTTGAAGTTGTCCCTTTTCCACGTTCATCTTCTCGTACAGGCGTTGGATTAATTTCAACCATATACAAAAACACTCAAATCCCGTTCATCCACTCTGATAATCCTCACCTCGGATTGTACCCGCTTTTCTATAAAAAAAATATCAAAACTATAGATTTTTTGCCTATCTCGAAATCTTTGAAAATGTTTACGGAGGCGAGCAAAAATACAACAATTAAAGTAAACTAAAAACCCAATACCACGGCACACGTAACTGACTTGTTCGGATGAGCTGTGAAGGCTCTTGTCCATTATAAAAAGATTACAGGTATGAATAAATAAAGAGACAGAAAAAAGGCTAACTTGAGAGAGTCTGTCTACAATCAATCGGTACTAAAAGAATCCTTCCACTTCACTTGGCATACGAGGGCGTGTACCTCGCGTAAGAAACATTCGGATTATTAGTATCCATCTTTCCTTCTATCTTCTTTTTGCACATGTCAAACAACTCATCTCTGATCTCCTTATTAGGCATACGAACAGCGTAAAGTCCTGGCGGTCCCTTGGGCTTTGCGACCAGGTACCCGTTGTGAACAAGTAGAGTCCAGAACGGCTCTTCCTGGCTGACCAACTTCTGGTACGGCATCTCGTTGTAGACCATCTTGTCCAAACTTTTGTTGAACATCAGATTGTCGAAGTCCATTCGCATGGGCGAGGACATCGCGAAAATCAACTTCACCACGAACTCCGTCAGCGAATGACGCACCCAATAGAACCCTGGCTTCCCGCCTTGACTCAAGAACGAAAGCACGGAGAACGGATTGTAGAGCAACGTGCCACTGATGTCGTATCCGCGGTACCACGTGTCTAAGAGCTCGCGCTTGGCAGTGAGTCCAGTTTCCGCCGCCAGAGCGCGCACGTCGCTCTCCAGGAACCCGAAGAACTCGGTGTAGCGCTGGTCGTTGAGGACAGAGTGGAGGCGCACTTCGGGGAGTTCCGCAAGGAGGGCTTCTTGCCCGATGATACTGACGCCAGTGATAACAGCCTTGAGGAGGTATGGGTTGTTTTTCAGAGCGGGTAATAGGAGGTCGTGCATCAAGGATCGCATTGGGTCCGTGTATTTGTTGTGGAATGCGGCTTGAAAAGGCTTCTCGAAAGCGCTGATGAGAAGGATGACGCTCTTGTTGTTTTTTCGATGGAGATACTGGCAAAGCGCACCGATGCTTGCGGTGACGTAGGCGAGAGGAGCCGTCTTATCGCGAACGAGCTCGAAGGTGCGCCTTTCCTCCCCTGTAAGAATGTCGTCGTCGAGGAGGTACTCGTGATTGCGATAAACCTGCAACAGGGAGGACAGAACATCCCAACACGAGAGACGTTAGGGAGAAAGTAGTTTGAAGTGAGTTTGTTGAGGATTTGTGCTACAGCTCGATAGCACTTTTCAACGGTAAAATCGCGATATTTTGAAATCAGTTGCGATTTTTTCACGATAAAATGGCTGGGATCATCAACATCTGGGCGATTATCCTCGATCTATCCGCAATTTCATCTCTTTAAAATTCCGTTCGATAAAATTGAAATTTTATCTCAATTCATCACGATTTTTTGTTCGATTATATCGCGATAAATCGCCCTCGATAAAATCGCATAAAATTGAAATTTTATCTCAATTCATCACGATTTTTTGTTCGATTATATTGCGATAAATCGCCGTCGATAAAATCGCAATTTTTTATCCGATAATATTGCGATACATTCTTCCATCAAATCGCAACTTATCGCAATAACTGCTATACTTGGGAGCAACGGGAGAAGTTGCTTTTGATATAGAAGAGCTTTATGTATATAATTCGATGAGCACTGGGAAATTCTAAAATTTGCTTACCTCACAATTTGTGTGGGAAATGGTTGCATTACTGAGCTACTCGCTTTAAAAAGTATACTATGGCGAAGGCACTTTGATCCAAATGAACCTTTCTAATTTCACAACTCTACGAGAAACCGAAAATGGCCACTGTCATGGGTTGTCTTAGATTTTCAATTGAATTCATTTTTTCAATTCAGCCCCCATAACTTTATCCTTAATTCTTCAATATTAAACACATAGGTTCTGTTTGGGAACGCCCAGCTTCAATGTGACTGGTTTGCTTGAAGGCTGGGTCATACGATCAAACTGGAGATATCAAAATAAGCGAGGTCACTGCGCGGCCGATTTTCGCGCGCCAATCAGAGATCAGTGTGCATATTTGTAGAATTCTCTGATAGGCTTTCGCAGAACCATTCAGAACTCTGACCTCGCCAGATTGTCAGCTCAGTTTGATCGTCTGGCCCAGACTTGAGGCTATCCCATTCCTTGCTTAACTGTGTCCCTTTCAAACAAACCCATTATAGAAATCGATGAATGCTCTAGCTTACCTCCCCGACAGAGATAGCGATGGCAGTCTTGGCGGCCTCGTAATTGACGGCAAAGACATTCTCAAAAGAGAGGAGGATGGTGGGGTACTGCCCCCGGTGGGCCCTGCAGAAGGCAGTGTCTTCGGAAATGCTGAGGCCTTGGAAAAGATCATTAAATCCGATTTTCCAGGCTGTGTCCGAATGAATGCGGTTCTCGAGGAAGTAGCGGAGCATGGAGAGGGCGGTCGCTTTGCCGAAGAGCCGCGGTCGGGTGATGAGGATCAGCCGGGATTCGTCCGTCATCACTGCTTTGATGAAACCCGATTTATCCGTGTAGGTGAAGTTCCTCGCGATGATGTCCGCGAAGTCGAATACGCCTAGTGGGAGCTTCCTCTGTGCCTGTGCGACAAAATACCGGATCAGTTGTCTTGAAAAATACTCGGGATAGAGATTCTTCTTGAGATATTAAAAACTATGCACTCGTAGATTTGATTAATCACGTTTCTTGAAACTCTGGCTTTGCTCATGTGTCGACTCCAGAGGCAATATGTCCTTCAATGGTCTCTTGACGACAGGTGGAAGCTTTTACTTTCGGAGATTCAACAATCCCTGGTAAAAATACGGCCGGCTAAAGAAGGCTACAGAAAATCATATAGCTGGCTGTAGAATACGGAGAAAATCATACGGCCGGGTTATGCGAAGCGATGAAAAATTATGCAGCCGGGCTAAAGTTCCTATCGCCCGGCTTTACACTTTATCGCCTGGCTGTTGCTTTTTTGCCATCGAGTATAAAAGGCTATAAGAAATTGTGTAGAAATTCGTGTGCTTTAGAAGTCATTAAGTTTGATCCGGAACCACCTTAATATTTACAAAACACACATTATATTTTCCTTTAATACATTTTTTTTTCATGAATTAAATGAGAATAATTCATACATGATGAGCAAACATTTCAAAATCATGAGTTGAATAACGCTGACTGCGCCAGATTAAATATTAGAGCCTAACACAAAGCGGAGCGGCGACGCACTGGCGCCTACAAACCTAACAGGGATACTTCACGCATTGCGCAACGCGTGAAGGATCCATGTTAGGTTTGTAGGCGCCAATGCGCGTTTCGCGCTGGCTGCCCGCCTGCTGCGTCGCAGCGTGCCACGGCGCTTGAAGCAACTATTTCACACCAGAGGTATTGCACAGTATCATAGGAAACCGAAGGCGCTCCAATATATTAGTAATGACAGGCATCCGTCAAAAATACGGAGCGTTCCTCGCAAAATAAATCAAGATACTACGGCCCAAAAAGAGAGCAGTATTTCAAAAACTCACTAAGTCCTAGCATCCGTAATTAGTAACGCTTAGTATACACTTTATCGCCTGGCTGTTGCTTAATCGCCATCGGCTATAAAAGGCTATAAGAAATTGTGTAGCCGGCTAAAAAGCTATTGGAAATCTTACAGCCGGCTGTAGGTCTATGGTAATTTGGAACAAAGATTCTACTGCCAATTTTTACCAGGGATTCCTTATGGAAAATTAGCAGGGAGCATCAGTCATCAGTCTTTTTTCGGCTGTTGACCTATCTACAACACCTACATGATGGATTATCATGGTGGAGCTATCAACCAAGTAGGTAGGTCAACAGTTAAATGTTAAAGTCCCGAAAGTAAAAGCTTCCACTATTGCCAAGATACTACTGGATGGTCTCATGTCTCTTGTCGACACACTCAATTCCTAGAGGAAAAATTGTAAATAAATAATCAGAGCAATGACAACTTTTTCATGACAGTCTTGACGCTCATCTATGCATCCACATATTCCATTAAACCTGAGAGGACACTTACACTACCTATTAAAGCATGCTCTCTTGAATAAATGTCGAATTTTGAAAGTGTAATGCCGTTCTGCTAATGCTCAGTCAAAGTATTTGCGAGAACGCAACGAAAGTATAAATCATTGCCGAAGTAAAGAAATTAGAAATTCCGATTTCAATTTTGTGTGTTCAACACTGATCGCGTTTTAGGCTCTTTAACGAAAATTTAGCGACAATGTTTTTCTTGAAATTGTTCTCTCTCATTCTAAAATATTCACAGAAAATTTGAAAGAAAGGAAAAATGCTTTGAATGGTTTTCTTTTTAAAAATGAAGCATTATTGGAGATCTCCAAGCGCTGCAATGGAGATACCTAAGCATTTTTGGACTTCAGCCATCGATATCTCACTCTAATCTTCTTAATCAATAATAATTTGGATTCGATTTAAAGAATTAGAGGTATTTAAAACTACCCCAACTCTAATTTTTTTAAATTACCGGTAGCTTGGGTTAGTTTTTTAATTTTAAAAATCCCATAAAGCTCAGAACCAATGGGACAAAAATTACAAACACAGAGGAACAATTTTCACTTACGAAAGCACACCCAACAGCAAAGAAACCTAAAATCGCGCACACCCACGTCATTTTCGACACCATTTTGGTGCATTTCCTTGGACTTCGGGGATAAAGTCGTCATCGACTCAAACTGGGGAACAAATTATGAAGGAAAACGTTATTCATGACGTACATGAATCATGAACATTAAACTCATCAGCTGGTGCAACAAGGGGGCTCGACAGCTTGAGCGAGCATGCTTCTCAAGACCCGGCCGATCGATAGATAAAAAGTGATTATTAATAGTCCAGATGCTATGCCTCTAATTTCGATAAGACATCGCCGTCGCTAAATTACATGCTAGACAAGCTGATTTAAATCAAAGGTCGAGTGATAGCTGAAATACTATTTGAGAGTACACAGGTGACCTACTTTTCTCACGTTGTGTTATCAATGATTTGTTTCTTGTCATAAATTTCTAACTCCTCTTCTTCCTACATGCCAAACCTTGAAGAATTTTACGTAAAACATGATTCTTACAACGAAAATTACTAAAACCAACTTTTAACGAAGATATTAACGTTTTTATTACACATTGGTTACGAGGAATTTGAACTGCCCGCTGACAAGAAACTCAAAGCTCTACGTGAGTCAAATCGCGCACTACAACGGTTTCTTCAGCAAGCTTCTCAATCAAGCAATGTTCATTTCCAACCATGTGTTGTTCAAACTCTATCAGCAATTTGCTACAGCTGAGCCAAAACGTCAAGATCGAGGTTGCAAGATTTTTGTATCGCAGAGACTGTCATGATAACGTTTATCGCTCAATTGGAATCACGTAGAGCATTGAGTTTTCATGAGCGGATGGTTTGAATTCATGCATCAAGAATCATTAAATGTCTTCGTAAGGAGTTAATTTCGGTAATTTTTGTGGTGCGCATCGTGTTCTACGTGAAATTTTAGTTACGAAATATGTAGTAGATTGCTGAAATAAGTACCTTGTCTAGTGGTCCATTCACAGGTTTGTCGATCGATTCACGGGTTTGTGAATGGATTCAGTGTTGTCGATCGATTTAAGGGTTTTTCGATCGGTTCACGGGTTTGTCACTCAACTCGTAGAATTGTCGATCGGTTCACGTTTTTATATTTCCATCATCCGAATCCATCATCTCCCTTTGGTTCTCCTATTCATGGCTACATGGCACTTTACTTATGTCGACAGGTGGGCGCAAGGCTGGTTGCCGGAGAGCCGGGCGCGGAGCGGAGGCTGCGCTGGACCAATGAGCGAGACAGACACCGAAGATGAGTCCGTTCCTGAAGGTGATGCAACTGTTCCTGATGATGTCGGCCACGGTGCTCGGCATGCTCGTGCTCCTCCTCTTCATCCCTGACTTGGAGGAGTCCATCCTCGAGGCCATGCACCGCTACCAGTTCACCAACCCCCGTCCCCCGCCGCCGCCCTCACCCTCCCACCATCAGGAACACGCCTCCATCTCCAAGTATGTATACATATAGATTAGAACCCAAAAAAAAAGGAAAAGAAAAGAAAAAAAAAACACGACGAGGGAAACCGAGACGAAAAACAAGCAGAATGTCTGGGGCGTATCGGGGTGGTTTCAATATGTATGAAATGCGAGATAAGTAAAAAAGTTTTGACCTATAAGTGATTACAATTACCTAACGAATAGAACTGAAAATAGTCTACAGTCAAATTAGCTCTAAAACAGGGCAATGTGAAAAAATCAATATATGTAACGTTTCTTTGCGTTTTTGTTTGAATTTCTCACGACCGTCGCACCGCATGGGATATTTTGTGCGTAAAAAGAAGTGGGAAATCGCCTGATAAAAAAATGTACCCGTTTTCAATTTTTAAGCCTGATACTATATATACTTGACTAGGAAAACAAACCTTAGATCCAAAATAAAGAAGTTGAATTTTTAGTCTTTCCGAGGTCAAATTGGACAGTTTTTCGAAGAATTACCCATTTGCGTTTCAGGCCGACCAGCCGAATAGCGGGCAGCGACCGCACTGTGTTTGGTGCAATGCGTGGGGCATTTCTACACTGCCGTGCTAAGGAAAAATGCCGCATGAACCTTCAGGCGTAGCCAAATTCCCTCCGATAAAATGAGAATTTATGGAGAAAGTTGTGACTATTATTCTTCCAATTTTTCAGACAATTTTGTTCGCAGTTTGATCTAAAATGTCTGAAAATTTCAAAGAAAAATATGCATAACTCTCCTTAAAAAAATCTTGTATCCGTGGAAATTTGGCAACTCTCGAATGTTCATTGCGCTGATATGCTTTTGGCGCTAACAAGCGACCGCACTGGGTTCAGTGTGTTAGGCGCAATGCGTGAAGTATATTCATGCAAACTTGTAGGCGCTCATATAGGTCCCGCGCTGACGCGCGACCGCAGTGTATTTGGCGCAATGCGTGAAGTATTCAGGCAGTCTTTTAGGCGCTAATATGCGTGCCGCGCCGACCGGCGAGGTTTATACCGTGGAGCGCGGCAAAGTCACTGACTATTTTTTGGCATAATTGTCTGTAAGGCGGTATCGTTCCGAAGCCCTCGAAATAGGTTTGTCCTCGTCACAGATGCAGCAACGCACCATTCAGAAAGCATTGATAAGTTGTATCATGGTTATTGTTCTCATTTGCCGTATCCTGGGAAAGGGTAATGTAAATTTAAATGAAGAATTAGGGATGATTTTAACGTATAATTATCAGTTTCCATTGGAGGATTGCCTAAAGTCAGCATAAATATTTCAGAGGGGACACTAAAGTTAAAATTACCTAAAATATTCGGCGGACGTATCTAAATAATAAATTTGCCAAGACTAAATCTATTGCAGAGAGAAGTGAAGTTAAGAGATGGAGTAATATTCACAGTCGAGGATGGCGGAGCTGTTCATCCATCTATAATCAGGCAATGTTCTTCGGAAATTTTATGCTCTTTCATTGCACTGAGAAACATTTCTTTCCTTAGATTCGCCGTTTTGAAGATAACTTAAGATTTCGTGGAAAAAGCGCGATTTCAAGCAAATTCGATTTTCCCAGCCGCGCGCAGAGAACTGCCGCGATATCTTACAAACTGGAAGTCGCAAATTAATGAATGTATAGTGTTTCTAATAGGAGATTTACTGCTCTTCATGAAGGTTTTTCTATACAGGTTTTTAATTGGACATTTTCTCGTGTGATTAACTGTATTTGAGATTTAAGCGAAAAATTGGTCGCTGGCGGCGTATTTTGGCCCCCCCAGATCGCCTTTCTTCAAGATGGTACCCTCAGCGGACAGCTAATTTCGGTAAACTTTTGATATGTTGTTCTGGTTGCCTAGTGCAACATGTTTCCGCAAAAAAAACCTTCTATACATTGATTTTCTCAGAAGCTATGGATTGACTGGATCAAAAGAGGGTTTTTGAATAAGAGCATACGGTAATCCTGTTTTGAGATTCTCTTACTTTTCTAGGTTTTCTCTGACAGTTTTATGAAAATTCTCAGAATTTTTAGAGTAATTTTAAGATTTTTTGATTCGGCCAAGCGAAAAGCTGAAGCTAAGACACGTCAAAATGTGTCCAGTTAACAAAATTCATCCCTGACTTTTTAGGTCATTTTGTTCTGTTGCACTGGCCTATTTATTTGCACTGGCTTTTCTCGGTCTCTCTTGAATGTGGGCACCCTGATCTTGACAGCGAGAAAAATAATCATGATAAATTCGCCTCAAAAAACAAACTCCTATTCTGAATTTTTTTTTTCGTAGGAACGCTAACACGCCGGAGGATGGAAGGTCAGAATTTCTATCAGGATCAAAGATGGGTAAATCCAATTCAATGAAAATGCTGAGTAACATAGGAGGATCGCTTTTAGAGTAAATTTTGGCGATTTCGCGAGGCTCTTCCCTAATGCTGAAGTTGGGTGTTAAGCCGCAAACGCTTGTTGGAGCACTTGTTTTTAAGTAATTTCATTTCAACTTACATACTTTCATCTTAATATACGTACAAAACAAGGGAAAAGCGATTTGGTTTACCTGAGAAACATTGTTATTAAGTTAAGAGTATTGAAGTCAAATTAAAGTTTAAGAAAAGGAAAGAAATGAATATGGAGTAAAGTTCAAAAAGAGTGAAAATACATGAGAATTTTTTAAAATCTGAGTCCATCAGAATTGAAGATACGAAGATCCAAAAATTGCTGGTAACTGAGTTAATCTCTTTTCCCTTGTCGTCTATCTCGCTTCCTCACATAATGCCACAATCCGCCATGGACTGCCTGGATGATTATATAGTTCTCTACGTCGCTATAAAGACTCCTCACTGGATTGTAATGTTGAACGCTAGACTTCGGCGCGCACATTCTAAAGCTTCCGCTTATTTCAACAGCTAAAATCAAAGAATTCTCAAAGCCCCACTCTAAATTCTATTAAATGATAACTAGTAAGTTCCGGGCTGGGAAATTTAAGAGATGTATTAACTGATAAGGTCTGTTCTGATAGACGTTTTCGGTGGACTGCTCAACGCGATATTCATTGGGAAGGTAATCATCTATATATCGGACCAGTCCCAAAGGTGCAAGTATCCAAAAACGCAAACCCCAAAAGAGAGAAATGCATAGCCCAGAAGGAGAAAGAGATAGTTTTGGTCGAGACTCACCCCCAATTAATAGTGAAAATACCTGAATAAAGGAAAACTGAAGAAGAAACGTACACGTGATTTTTGTGGGTGCTGTATCTGGGATTTTATGCGAGGAACTTTAGGCCGGCTCTTTTTAAATACTTCGTCATTGATTAGTTTTTTATGAGAACGGTCTGCTCGAACTAAAATTAAGGGGACTTGGAGGACAAGGCGCATAGGTGCAGCTTTTGAAAAAAGTGACGATTTTAATCTCAATTATTCTTGGGATATTATGAAAATGAAAGTATAAATATTCTTAAAAATTAAAATCTTCTTCGGAAAGAATTTAGCCGCACCTAGAGCCACATATGGAGTTTTTCTACAGCATGGTAAAACTGGTAGCACTCGAGAAAGAGTAAGCTTGCCTCGACGCCATGTAACATTAGGTGCAGAGAAGCAATATTGCATGACCGCTAATTTCACCTCGAGTGAAATACGCTGCTGCATGCGAGCTGATAACAGTTGGAGCATGCTATAAATCTCCGCTTAAGGCCTATCGTAATTTCATTCGACTCACAGTTCTCATGAACGCCTTTCAAAACACCTGTGTTGAATTACTTGCCCTGGTCACAGTATAAGTATGAGTCCATATTGCAAAACATACCAACTTATTTGTTTCGAGATATCGAGAGGGAGTTCTCAGAGGATCCGCTACACGGTAGATCAAGTCAATAGGAGAGATCGGACAAAATTCGAAAACTTTAAAAGCTTATTACTCCGTTTATGTAAAACTTTGAGGTTCTAAAGGTCGTTCAACTGATTTCCTCGTGAAATTTTCTTTTAAGGACACCCCTTAAAATTTATGATGTGACGAATCAAACATCAAAATTTGCAGTTTCAGTAAAAAATTTCATGTCCGACCTCTCTAGTTGACTCGATCCACTGTGCGCCAAGAGCACAATTTGAAAATTTTCACGACAAAAATCTCGACAATTCGATATGAAAACCCTCTTGAGACTTTGATGATACGCCCTTCGAATTTTCTCACGACGGAACTTGGACATATAGGACATTTCGTCAACAATTTTTTGTCCGCCCACCTGTTTTTTCCAGTAATTTACGTCCACGCGTTTTTTCGGCACGGAAGTTTTGGTTCACGTGCCAGTTGAGACCCAAAGTTAATTGCCCCACATGTAAATACAAACGACAATTGCTCACGACGTTTTTGGATAAAAATATATAATGTCTTGGAAGAATGAGGGTTTGCTTGATTTTTTGTTTTGTCTGTATGGTCCAACGAAGAATAATATACATACAGTTGAGAGTTTGGTAAAAATGGGGGAGCGTCAATTCCATGAGACAAAATTCACTAAAACTCTCTACACCTCTTTAGTGTAACAGGACTTAATTATCTTTCAAGAAATTCCCACCTTGTTATACCTGAACCGGATAATCCTCTATATTTGCCTCAGCTAAAGGCTCTTAGATTTTTCCTGTGTACGATAAGTATCTTGATTTATTTTGCGAGGAAAGATCTGTACTTTTAAAGGATGCCTGTCATTCTTAATACGTTCAATTTCGTATAATACTGTGCAACAGCTCTGTTGTGAAATGGTTGCTTCAGGCGCCGCCGCGGGCCCGGGCGGCTGGCGGACAGCGCGGAACGCGCATTGGCGCCTACAAACCTAAGTGGATACTTCAAGCATTGTGCAATGCGTGAAGTATCCACTTAGGTTTGTAGGCGCCGTCAAGCATTGTGCAATGCGTGAAGTATTCACTTAGGTTTGTAGGCGCCAGTGAGCCTCTCGCGCTGGCAGCACGTCGCTCCGCTCTGTTCGGCTTTAATATTTATACTCACATAGTCAGCGTTTTTTAACTCATGATTTTGAAATGTTAGCACACTCTGCATTGATTGTTCTCATTAAATTGATGGGTAAAAAATATGTATCAATTTATCAAAGGAGAATAATAATATCATGTGTGTTTTTTTAAATATTGGTGGTTCCGTGTCAAATTTAATGATTTCCAAAGCGCTTTAATTTTTTCTTTTACAATTTGTGCTTTTATTGTGCTTCAGCGAGGTGTACGCGCAACGAAACGCTCAAAATTTGACGTATTTGACTCTAAAAGATCGGTGTACAAATGTATTAAAACTAAAGATTGCGTGCTTCTTGGTTTTTTTCCCTCGTTTATTCATGTTTGCAGTTTCTGTCAGCACAACTGCTGCTCATTGAGATTAATGTCACTTGGAAAAGGTTTTATAAATATTTGTCACGTTTTAAAAATATAAATGTTTTCAAAATGAAGTAATAATTTCGTAAAGAAAAAATAAAAAAAAATTAAAAAAAAGTAACTATACGAGTACATATATAAGGTACATTGTACATTCAATATTTTAAGGATAGAAATAAAATCAAATATTCACCAATGACAATTTAAAAAGATGATTCAAAAGAAGAAAGAAATAACATTTCATTTAGAAATGAGCAACTGTAACAACACCACCTTCTCTCTCAATTTCTCATTTCCATATTGTCAATATAATTTTACATACTGACTAAAATATGACGCTTGGACCAAGTCACTGTTGCTTATTTTACTTGTGGGCGTAAACTACTGGACAAAGATGGGGCGCGGACAAAAAATTGTTGACAAAATGTCCTGAGACCCGGAGCTTAATTCCATGCATTTCCGGTGTATTTTACAACAATTCCACGTGAAGTTTGTGATAAGTCATTCTACATAATAGAACATCGTACTTACGATTCATAAGACGGAATTTTTTTTCTCAACAGTGTACGGACTATACACTCATGGAAAAAGTGGAGTAAAATTCTGTGCACGGAAAAAAACTTCAAATCGTGATTAACACTAACGTTTTCAGCCTCCTGGAGCAATCCTATTAGTTGCAATGGGTGATTCTTATAGACTAAGGGAGACAATGATGGACTAATTATACAGTCTCCCATGGGTTGCGTTAGTTAGTCTATTACTTACCTCCTTTGTCCATTGCAACCGCCCGCGTCTACAAATAAGATCCTTCAATATCCTTTTTGTCTTCTTTGTCTATCACTTTGTCTACCAATTTCAACAATCAGCCTGCTGGCTAGGTTTTAGAATCAGGATTGCCACAAAATTTAGAAAATTTCATTCCCTGACATTTCCCTGATTTCCATGACACATTTTGATGAAATTCCTTGAAAATTGAACAAGTGCCTAATTGTTAAAAATACATAGTTAGAAATTGTTTTAAGGAAAAATTTGTTGTTCGGAATATCAATCCCTCTCGAGAAAGCAAATAAAGGTGACTTTTAGAATTTTCTGAATCTTTCCTGACATTTCCAGCAGTCCGACTGCAGACTTTCACATCCATTGATTTTGATGGAATGGAACTCCACTCCCACCCGCTCTACCCCAAGGAACATCGCTGTTCCATCGCTTTTAATGGAACAGCTAAAGTTTCGGCTGCAGGTTTTCCCTGACTTTTTAAAATCCCCTGACATTTCCCGGTTTTCCCTGACTGTGGCAACCCTGTATTGCAACAATCAGCCCGCTGGCTGGGTTTTAGAATGGAGATGTTGCATGTGTGAGGAATTTGCGATTTGACTGTTGATTCTTATGTAAAAGTTCGCGAGAAACACGATGATGCCACTGGTTTTCTCTGAAATCAACTCCCAAGCTCATTAAAAGCTCTCGAGTTGAGGTCAAAATGGAGGGGATATCCCACGCTACCCTGAGAGTCCACGTCTACAACAATACAAACTCTCCATGCGCAGATAGGGAGCAAATACATTAACAGGGTTGCCACCTTCTTTAGGGAATCCAAAACTGAAAACACGGCAACCCTGTTAATGTATTTGCTCCCTATCTTCGCACGGAGAGTTTGTCTTGATGTAGAGGTGGACTCTCAAGATAGCGTGGTATATCCCCTCCATTTTGGCCTCAACTTGAGAGCTTTTTCTGAGCTTGGGAGTTGATTTCAGAGAAAACCAGTGGCACCATCGTGTTTCTCGCGAGCTTTTACATGATAATCAACAGTCAAATCGCAAATCCCTCACACATGCAACATCTCCATTGCAATAATCAGCCCGCTGGCTGGGTTCTAGAATGGAGATGTTGCGGGTATGAGTGATTTGCGATTTGACTGTTGTTTCTTATGTAAAATTTTGAGAGAAACACAATGGTGCCACTGGTTTTCTCTGAAATCATCTCCCAAGCTCAAAAAAAGCTCTGGAAGCGAGGCCAAAATGGAGGGGGTACCCCGCCCTATCCTGAGAGTCCACCTCTACATCAAAACAAACTCTCCATGCGAAGAAAGGGAATAATTACATTAGCAGTGATGCCGTGTTTTCAGTTTTAGAGTCCCCAAATAAAGTGACAGCCCTGTCAATGTATTGGCTCCCTATCTGCGCACGGAGAGTTTGTCTTGATGTAGAGGTGGACTCTCAAGATAGCGTGGTATATCCCCTCCATTTTGGCCTCAACTTGAGAGCTTTTTTTGAGCTTGGCAGTTGATTTCAGAGAAAACCAGTGGCACCATCGTGTTTCTCGCGAACTTTTACATAAGAATCAACAGTCAAATCGCAAATCCCTCACACATGCAACATCTCCATCGCAATAATCAGCCCGCTGGCTGGGTTCTGGAATTGGGGAGGTGTAGGTGGGAGTGAGCTGATGCGAGGACGTGGCGTGGTTTCCAGGTTACCTGATGGCGGTCGAGATCGACCGGAAGAAGAAGAAGTTCACACCGTGGCCGAGCTCGGAGGAGTGTCGCCAGTACTACATCCAGTTCGCGAGGCAGAAGAGTCTCCCGATGACGGCCCTCGTCTCTTTCCCCGGAAGTGGGAACACGTGGGTCCGCTACTTGATAGAGACCACCACCGGGATATTTACCGGCAGCGTCTACGCCGACAAACTCATCTTCAGCAAAGGTACTTCATCTCCGCACAAACTCTTCTCATATTACAGCGCTGCCGTGATAGCGAAGAGAGCATAGTGAGTACAAAAATCAAGGCTCATACGACATTCTTCCGTAGCACGGTATAGCACAGTTGTTGCTAGGATTGTGTCTGCTGTTCCTTATTACTATAGAAGAACTTACATGCCTTTGCTGCAATTTAAAGGAATGGACCACTAGACAAGGTACGAATTTCAGCATTCTGATACATGTTTCGTAACTAAAATTTCACGTAGAACACGATGCGCACAGCAAAAATTACCGAAATTAACTCCTTGCGAAGATATTTAATGATTCTTGATGCGTGAATTCAAACCACCCGCTCGTGAAAACTCAACGCTCTACGTGATTCACATCGCGCGCTCAAAGTGTATCATGACAGTCTCTGCTATATAAAAATCTGGCAACCTCAATTTTGACGCTTTGGCTCAGCCATAGCAAATTGCTTATAGTTTGAAAAACACATGGTGGGAAATGAACATTGCTCGATTGAGAGGATTGCTGAAACCGTTGTAATGCGCGGTTTGACTCGCGTAGAGCTTTGAGTTTCTTGTGAGCGGGCAGTTCAAATTCCTCGTAACCAATGTGAAATAAAAACGTAAATATCTTCGTTAGGAGTTGGCTTCAGTAATTTTCGTTGTGTGAATCGTGTTCTACGTGAAATTCTGGTTAAGAAACATGTATCAGAATGCTTAAATTCGTACCTTGTCTAGTGGTCCATTGTATCGGAATAATTTAAGGAATTATTATCAAGACATTTTTTTTTCTCATTTTTGTGGCAAAAACTATTATTCTTACTGACGTTTCCCTTAAATAAAAGAGTCATTTGCACAATAATGGCAATACCTGATGGCGCTAACTAGATTCTCAAAATTCCACGCTTCAGCAGGTCATTTTGCGCTGATCTTAGAATCGTATTTGGGTGCTTGATTATTGTAGATTAGCTGAATGAAAATTCGTCCGAACAGCAACTCTCTACGTTCAATATCAACCAAAATATCGCGCTTTGAAAAATTCGGTTTGTGACGTCATCCACCGCGGTAAAGACACCCTTGGTTTCTTCCACCTTGCTTTCATCAGTTACTGGTTGTACTGGTTGCTTAATGTAAAACTCGGATGGAAGCAAGGTAGAAGAAACCGAAGGTGTCACTACAGCGGTGGATGACGTCAAAAAAGTTTTTCAAAGCGCGATATCTCGGTTAATATTGAACGTAGAAAGTTGCTGCTTGGACAGAACTTCAGTATTTTTAGCTGATAGACCAGAATGAAGCATTAAATTACGATTCTAAAACCAGCGCAACTGACTCATTGAGCGAGTCGACACACGAGCAAACCCTGGTAAAAATTGGCAGTAGAATCTGTGTTCCAAAATACCATAGACCTACAGCCGGCTGTAAGATTTCCAATAGCTTTTATAGTCGGCTACACAATTTCTTATAGCCTTTTATAGCCGATGGCGATTAAACAACAGCCAAGCGATAAAGTATGCTAAACGTTACTAATTACGGATGCTAGGACTTCGTGAGTTTTTGGAATACTGCTCTCTTTGTGGGCCGTAGTATCTTGATTTATTTTGCGAGGAAAGCTCCGTACTTTTGATGGATGCCTGCCATTCCTAATATATTAGAGCGCCTTCAGTTTCGTATGATACTGTGCAATACCTCTGGTGTGAAATAGTTGCTTCAAGCGCCGTGGCAGGCGGGCAGCCAGCGCGAAACACGCATTGGCGCCTACAAACCTGACAGGGATACTTCACGCGTTGCGCAATGCGTGAAGTATCCCTGTTAGGTTTGTAGGCGCCAGTGCGTCGCCGCTCCGCTTTGTGTTAGGCTCTAATATTTAATCTGGCGCAGTCAGCGTTATTCAACTCATGATTTTGAAATGTTTGGACATCCTGTATGGATTATTCTCATTTTAATTGATGAAAAAAAATATGTATTAAAGGAAAATATAATATATGTTTTGTAAATATTAAGGTGGTTCCGTATCAAACTTAATGATTTCCAAAGCACACGAATTTCTACACAATTTCTTATAACCTTTTAAAATCGATGGCGAAAAAGCAACAGCCAGGCGACAAAGTGTAAAGCCCGGCGATAGGAACTACAGCCCGGCTGCATAATTTTATATCGCTTCGTATAGCCCGGCCGTATGATTTTCTCCGTATTCTACAGCCAGCTATATGATTTTCTGTAGCCTCCTTTAGCCGGCTCTAAGAATTCCTATGGTATTTTGAAACGCAGCTCTTATCGCCAATTTTTAACAGGGAAGCCAGAGTTTCAAGATGTTTGATTAATCAAACCTACGAGGGCATGGTTTTTAATCCCTCCAGATTTATCTCTCAAGAAGGACCTCCTTCCCCAACGCAACTGACCTATATCACTCTTAAATTGGCAGTTCCAAGGTTAGCGAGCTATCCAAGAGCCGAATTTTGTCGGGAAAAGTGACAAATTTAAATGATATCGTTGCAGGGTTTTTTGGTGAGCGGGAGTCCCCAGATTGCGGGTGTACATCCGTGCAAAAAACACATGGTTTCGCATTGGCTGGTGCAGTGCCTAAATTGCCCACGGAGAAAACGGCCGAGGTCAGTCTCTTCAATGGCCGCGCCATCCTTCTTCTCCGGAATCCCTATGAAGCGCTCCTCTCTTACAGGAATTATCTCTATGGTGGACACACTGGCTTTGCCCCCAACAACAAATTCAGAGGAAGAGGTACCTTTCTTCAATTACTCAATATGCTTATACCTTTGCCCAGTTTGATTAAATACCTGAGGCAGGCCATGGGCACTGAATCTCATGGAGATTAGAATGCTTTAAAAAAAAAACAAGTTGGTTTTTGCAATCGCTAGCGATAGCAATATTCGTCATGGGAACTTTTGCTTCTGGGATATGAAAATGTTAAGGTACAGTTCGTTTGTAGTATCTTCAGAATTGAAGGGGCTATGTAATTTTGTGTCGACATCTCTTTTTTAACATTTTTAATTTTTTTTCTTTGCATACAAGAAAGCTGTTATTTACCAATTATTTATTTTCGTTAGATTATGTATGGTTTTCGGAAGTTAACGCATTTAACTTTCAGTTTCGTTTTTTCGGCGTAAAGTATGATATTTTTACTCTACGCATATGCCCGAATACGCATCATAAGTGACCTATGTGCTTCCTAAGTTGCCATTTTTTTCATTCAAATAGATGTAACTGAAAGTTTAGATGTGTACTACCTATACTACTTTCATGTCATTGCTTTACTTATTTATTTATTTACTTTTTGCGTATGTATAAATTGTTATTTTTTGCTGAATTTTGGAGAAAATATTGCTTTAAGAACGTGGAATGTAAATTAATTTTATTGAAAAAAGAAAATACCATCATTAATTTGGGCGAACAGAGAAAAT